AAGTGACTCAATGTGCAGAGAGTGGGCTTGCACCCTAGATTTAAACTTACCTGTAAAAAGCCCCAAAAGAGCTAGCTAGCAGTCTTCCAGCCAGCTTTGTAGGGAATGCTTCCCTGCATCCTGGGGCAGGTTGACACCCAAAGAGAAAGGTGGGCAGAACTGGGAACGTTCCGTCAGACACCAGAAGAACATGACAGGACCATAGAGAGTAGTCCTGAGTATCTCTCCAGTAATATCCCTCCACACGGGACACACACATTCACAGATAAATCCTTACACACCAGGTTATGGAGACACGTGGAACAGATAGCAAGAGCCCAGCAATCAGAAAACTAGAGAGAATGAGAACGGATGACCAAGTGAGAAAGGGAGTGTGAGTTGGGGGGCAGAATCCAGGGAACTGGCCACAGCAGAACTTTTATTTATCTACAGCAGGGACTGAGTCACCAGGTCTGAACCTGAAACAGATAGGTGACCAATAGGATAGATAAAAGACCTGGCTAGGGGCCTCCCTGGTGGCGCAGCGGTTGAGCACTGGGTTGCGAAGCTGTCCGCAGCCTCAGCGGCACCGGTTCGATCCCCGGCTGCTCCCCGGCCACCGGAGGAGGGTCCCACATGGCGCGCAGACCTCTCCTGCCGTGCCCGCTGCTCCCCTCAGCAGTGTACTTCGGTCCTTCTGCCTGCTCTGCTCCCCGCTCTGGCTCTGGTGAATTCTCTCACCCTCCCGCGCTTCTGACTGTACCCAGTGCTTGTACAAATAAATAAATAAATCTTAAAAAAAAAAAAAGTTAAAAAAAAAAAAAAAAAAGACCTGGCTAGAAAAAAATGCCAAGTGCTGAGAAGAGCATGTCGCTGCCATAGAAAGTGTATTAATGGAAGGTTGAAACTATTCACTTCATATTTCAAAAAAGAACTGGCAACAGCTAAGATTTGCATTTTAATAGACAGTAGAACGTGGAATGGACAAGTGATCTGGGAGTGCAGGTGGAAGGGTTGTTGTGAAATAGCATAAGGCCAGATATCTGATGTGACAATGACAGGTAGTATTCCAGGGCTATTACTTAGAGGGCCTCTGACCACCAATCATAACTTGGAGTAAGTCTCACAGCCCCCAAATTAACCAGTAATGGGATTAGTTTTTACTGAGATAACATTGTGCATTTCCCAAAGTGAATCCCAGATGGGAAAAGCTACTTCCTCTTTACCCCCTCTTGCCCTAAATGGAGAATATTGCTTTGTTCCAGAACACGCCTTGGGGTTTCAGAAAGAAATCCTAGGGTTTAAGATTTTTTTCATGATTTGCTTTGTCACTTTGTTTTTTAGTTTGAGATAGCCCCAAGGATCTAACTCTTCAGGTGAAGGGAGGAAGGATTAGATAATTATTATAATAGCTAACATTTATTAACCATTCTCGATGGCACAGGTACTGTCTAGGGTGCTTTGAAGGTACCAGTTCACTTAATCCTCATAGCATCCCTATGATAATTATGTACTTTTAATATCTCTGTTTTACTGATGATGCAACAGACAAGGAGAGGCTTAGCAATTTGCCCAAAGGTACACAGCTGGTAGGCAGCAGAGCTGGAATGCAAACCCAGGCAGTTGGAACTAAGAGGGAGGATATGACTCAGGAGCAGAAGTTCCATCAAGTTGTTCTGGACCCAAGTCCTGGATTTGGGGTGTGCATTTAGCTGACACGCCTGCAGGAAGAGTCAACTGCCTTAACCAAGCAGGCTGAGCATTCTTCTGTTACCAGACCACAAAGTAGAATTTCTAGGCAAAGGAGATTCATCGCTCCATTTGACAACCCTTGGAATGTGTGTAGATTACTTCCCAAAAATTTTGGGGTGATGGGGGGGGGACTCTGCTAAAGTGGAGCAGAAACTGAGGCCTCTGAGGAGACGCAAAATTGCCAGAGACTCAACTCTGCTAGACAGTTTATACAGTCATTCCACAAATATTTATTGAGCTCCTACTACATGCTCCATATTGCCTTTCTTTTCTTGGTACATTACTCTCATTACTAGATGCTCATTACTAGGTTCTGAGGAATTCCATACCTTTGTGGGGTCCATTAGGCACTTAAGTAGCTGCACCTCCAACTTCCTTGTCTGCTATCCAGCAGCCCAGACTGGAAGGCCCCCACTGTATGCCGGACTGTGTTTGTTCAATAACGCTTGGAAGCACAAGTGAGCTCTGTATTACCCTTTTGGGCAGAGCCGGCTGGAGTGCTTGGAAGCTCCTAGTTCTAACCCTGCAGAGCCACAGGGACGACCCAAAGCGCCAGCCATCAGCTTTGTTCCTCAAGCCTCTGGAGAAAACCTTTGATTTCATGGTTATTTTTATTCTTGCCCACTCAAGGATGAAGCCCAAGAAACAAGAGGTTACCCCTTTCAGAGGCATCACAATGGGTCACCTCTAGCCAAACCCACTGTTTTTTGTTTTTCTTACTTCTGGGTCTGGTTGAGCCTCTCTTGGAAACCATGACTATACAACTTACTTAAAAGAAAGACTGGAGGGATTGGGCACAAGAAACCCAGACAGGAGTGGGAGGTGGGGGGAGGGAGACAAGATGGGGAGAGGGCAACTTGGGACAGGGAGCCTGGAAGTAATATGTTGTCGGACAATGTGTGGGAAGAGCCACGCTGAAGTCACAATCTGATTTGGATCAAATCCATTTTGTAGTGACATTTTTAATCTTTTGTGATTTCTGTACTATTCCAAGTTTGACTTTTGGCCAAGCCTGGAGAATTAGAGCTTTGGATAACAGTTTCAGAAAAAGACACCCCCACCCACCCACCCACACACACACACACACATGCACGCATGCACACAGAAAGGGGGAGGGAGAGGAGACTTTTATCCTAAAGTCATTGTAAATCCAAAGCAGGGTTTTAACCTCCACAGTTAAATGAGAAAGAAAAAAAAAATCAAGAATACCAACATTTGAGGTACAAAGACTGTCATGGGCCAGTGGAAGCTGCAAAATTATATGTAAATGACCAAAGTTTTTACTGTGGTGGCCCTGTGCGTTCCCAAAGCTAATCCCAAAGAGAAAATCTACTTAGCAAAAGAAAGTTTTGTCTAATTTGGTTAACAGTTGAGAGGTGACAAAAATGCTGAATATATTAATAATTTATATTTCCAGGGTAACACTATATCTTTAATGCTTCACTGCCAAAGGGAATTCAGATTGGCTTAATGCTCAGAGAAAAAAGCCTGAAAGGCCTTCTTCATATTCTGTATCCAGCACTGATGAAAATGGGTGTAAGACATGTGTTCCGATAATAGGCACCCAACATCCTCCCATAGCTGCATAATTTGTTTTCATCCATATTTGCTCAATGTATATTTGTTAGCCAGAAAGCCTCTGGCTTTTACACTCTCCAACTTCCATGCTTCAGCTGTTCCTCAGGAAGGATGTATTTATTTGCATCTCACATTTTGTAGATAAGTTTTGTGCTGACTTGTCCTGCGTGTGAGGGCAAGAACCCCTGACATGCAAGACCTTTTCTAAAGTTTGTAGCCCCCCAACCCCCCAAAATAACACACACACACAGGTTTCATTTTATGGGCAATGCAATGTAATGATGTTTTATTTTGGTTTGTCTCTGTGTGATGACGTGTGATGGCTTACCAGAGAATGTGTCAGAGAATGTGCGGGAAGAGCCACACTGAAGTCACAATCTGATTTGGATCAAATCCATTTTGATGACCTGTCATCAAAATGGTCATCCTGTTCTTTGACCCCCCGTAAGTAGTCTAGGTCAGAGTTCTCTTAAATTGTTAACAAAAAAATGGAGTTAATTTTTCTCCAGCTAATCTGGGTGAGGACAAATCATGGCAGTTCAGCTAAATGGCCTCTAGAAACAGAGGAAAACGTGCTATGTAATTTCAAATATTTTGCTTAAAGGACATCAAAGCTATCAAGAACAAAAGAGGTAGATGGGGACCCCAAAAATCGCACATTCCCGCAAATACTACTTGAGCCTGTTAGATAACATGCTCCTTTTACCTGTTTACATAACAGTAAAGTTCAATTTGCTCTTTGGGTCTGAGAAAAACATCATTATAATTTGCTATTTTAAATGGATCGCTGTTTTTGTATAAGGTGCAAATTCAAGTGGAATGGAAAACCATAATCCCCTGAAGATGACTAGCCAAGTCTTCCCTGCACCCCAAACTTTCCTCACTATTCTCCAGTGGAACGAGGTTAAAATCCCCACCCGGGGAAGGGGAAGAGAAACCTTTTCTCACCAGGTCTAAGAACTTGAACGGAGAACTGAGTCCAGATCCCGCCCAGTGACCAGATGGTGGGGATCTGCGGGAGACACAATCCCCTGGGGAAGCCCAATGCACTACCGGTTCTGTGCGGACCTCTCACCCGGTTGCCTAGCGCCCCCAAAGCTGAGCTGATCAGTGCGCAAAACGCAGCGCCAGCTGCCCTGAACCCTCCGGGGCTGAGTAGCTGTCATCCGAAGATTAAAAAAGCTTAGTCGGATGTTGTTTTTACGCCGTAATTGAGGAGTTAACTTCCTCTACATATATTTAACTGAGGCGTGTGAGGGCTGTGAACACGCCAGGTTAGCTTGGGTGTCGCCGCGCTGCAGACCCACCTGCGCGTAGTCCGCGCGCCTAGTGCGCGCGCGTCTCCCGGCATTGCCGCTGGGTCTCTAGGGGTTCCAGGTCCCAACTAGTGAGGGTCCGCCAAAGCCAGTTTGGGGTGGACCCTTCGATTTGCGGTGTCTAAGAGCGGAGACCCTGTTCCTCAAGTCAGACACCTGAGGTCCACGGTGCGGTGCGGTCTGGAGCTCCTGGAAGCCGCGAATCCCGTCCCCAAATGACGCCTCGATTTAGCCTACTCCTACCCCTCAGACACTGTAGCATCTTCCACTGCACCCCCAGAGACTGAGTGAGCTGTGACCTTGGCCCCTATCAGCCTCGTGCCATTAGCACATCGGAGGGGATGGTTGTGGAGAAGATAGCAAAGAATCCACCTCTGCGTTTTTACCAGAAAATGTTTATTGCTAGGGGGAGATTCTCCAGAAGAGAAGCTAGGTCTTGGCCTTCCCCTACCCAGATTTCTTATTGGCACAGTTTATTTACACTAGTACAAATATACAGCATTTCTCAAACAGCTCCGGAAGCGCGAAGTCTGGCGGGAGAGCGAGCGTCAGAGCACCTGGGGGTGCTGGGGCGCGTGCAGGTTTAGGGCGTTGGGGTGGGCGGGGCCGATCAGGTTGAAGTAGTGCCGGTCCAGGCCCTGCACCGGCGCCAGAAAGGGGCTATGCTGCTGCGCGGGGCTGGGGAGCGGCACGGGTGCGCTGGGCAGGTAGGGCAGCGCCTGGCTGCGACTGGCGCCGGGCGGCCAGGGGAAGGGCCCTGGGGCTGCGCCTTGCGGGTACACGGAGGCCTCGCCAGGGCTATGGCTCGTGAACTCCGGCCCCGCGGGATGGAGCTGATAGGAGAAATCCGGCTCCGGGAGCGAGCCCAGGGGCTGAAAGGCGGGCTCGGCGCCCAGGCAAGCTTTGGACTGCAGGAAAGCGAGGATGCGCGCGTACTTGGTGTCCTTGGTTTCCATCCGCTCCACGGTGGTGAGGTAATGTACCAGGTTCTTCATGCACTCGTGGTAGCCGTAGTGGAAGTAGTTGGCAAACTCCGCTAGAAGTTCTGCTGGAGAGACGGAAAAAAAAAAAAAAAGTAGAAAAAAACCCATGCGCAGCACTTTCCCTACTACGAGCGCGAGGCGCGTGCCAGACGCCTACCGCAACATTTCTGCCCCAAATCCCCATCTGAGGGCCGCCTTCTCTGCTGTTTGAGATTGGAAAAGCGCGAACAAATGACCTCGTCTTCCTTAACAGGCGGGCCTCCTTCCTACTTGAGAGGAGGCGATGGAATCTGTCACCCCCAAACCCGTTCTCCAGCTCCCGCTGTTTTCGCGGTACACCCGTCCGCCCCAGCTAGGCGGTGAGGGGCGACCTCTCTCCCGTCCTCAGCCCCCATGTCCCGGTGGCGAATGCCCCCTGTCCAGGTGCTTGCCCAACCCGCACCCACCTTTCTCCCGGCCCCGGGGAAAATCAGGGGAGTGCAGGGCTCGCAGGTACTGAACCGTCATCTCGAGGATCTCCGCCTTCTCCAGCTTCCCCGAGCTCTGCAAAAGGAGGAAGGGTTTCTCGCAGAGGCTCCGGGGGCGCACGCTAGCCCTGGCAAACTGGGTGAGGGCTTTATCTGGAGACTACCAGGGAGCAGGGCGCAGCTGTGGATCTGCGCCAGGGTTGCCTGGGGCCCAGATATCAGGCCCCAGGGAGGGAGACCCACAGGTGAGACACTCTTGGTCCCCAGATTCCCGGCATCTCCGCCGGGCGTAGCAGACAAAGATCCCCAGCTCCTGCCACCCTGTGCTCTGCCGGTGACGTTACCTGTTTCGCCAGGGCCATGGGCACCGTCTTGCCCAGCTCGTTCAAGCAGCGGTTAATCCGATCCCTCCTCCGCTTTTCTATCACTTTGTGGGACACGGGGGTTCTCTGCGAACAGAAGTTTGTGCGTTTAGGGTATCATTGCCCGGGGAGTCGTCAAAAGCAGGGCTGTGGTAGCTGCGTGCCAACTGCCTTTTCAGCCCCCCGCGCTTCCTCGGGACTCGCCCCGGGAATGGTTCCTGCCTTTCCACACGTGGGTCAAGTGGGCTCTGCCCCCTCGCGCCTGCGCTGGCGCGCTACCCTTCCAGCCTGTCCACATCCGCTCAGGTTACCCCGACAACCTCAGCGCCTGGGTACTGGGGAGGTGGCCAGTGGTCTCCGGGCGTGGTCACCTCCCCCGATGAGTCTCCTGTTTCTGTCCTCATTCCCTGCCCAAATCACTCAGGATTCCTCCACACACCAAGTTCCCTGTGGTCGCGTCCCTGCCGTGGGTCCAGCCAGGTGGTGTCCAGGGGGGGTCAGAAGCCTCCACTTTCAGAGCGCAAGAGCTGTCTAGACTGAGCCCACTCACTTTGCGTTCCTTGAGCTTGTCTGACATCCTGGCGAGTGTGCGCGCTCGGGAGAGGCGCTGGCGCGGGCACCCGCTCTCTTTCCGCCTCGTGTGCCTGCTCCACGGGCCCAGGTAGACTGCAGGCTCCCGGCTCCGAGGGGCTGCCTTATAAAGCGCTCATCTAGGGCTCCAAGTGCATTCACGAGTTGAATGATTCCATAGGATTAGGGGAGCTGTGTTTGGGGATGTATGCATTCAAGATCAGTTTTAAAGAATTAAGAGAAAAAAAAATAGCAGCCGAGGGGGGTGAGCTGGGGCAGATCAGCTTTGTTAATCCACGTGGCCCTTCAAAGGACACGTGATCGGCCGGGGACTAACATTTGCATGGCAACAGCCGGGGCGGGCACGGGAGGCGGTAAACCGGAGCCGGCGGGTGAGCGGACGCCGGCGGCAGCCCCAGGCGCAGAGCGCAGGGGCGCAGCGGCCACGGGCACCGGGGGGCGAGGACCCTGACAAAACAGCGTCGCCTCCTTTAGTCCCACCGCTGAGTCTCACACGATTGCCTGTTTACAAATCCCAGCAAGCCCGCAGTCCCTGCGCCGAGTGCGTTTTAAAGCCTGTCCAGAGTCATTAAAGTAATTAAGTAAGCCTTTAATAGGCTGTTCCGCCGGGTTCAAGGGAGAGCTCTTGGAGACGGAGGCGCCCCGTTTGTTCCCAGGCTTTTCTCACACGACTTGGTGACACGTCCATCTCCCCCTTTTTTGTTTACACCGCTTTATTTGCCCGGACATCCCGGCAGGTGTGGGGCTGCGGCTGGCACACGAGGCTCCCGCCTCGCCTCGCCCCTCCCGCCGGTCTTTGGCACGCGACGCTCCCCCCTGCTCCCCGACCACGTCTCCTGCTTTCTCCCGCCCCGCCCCCCAGGCTCTCTCTTCGCGAGGGGAAGAGGCTCAATTTATAGCCTATTATCCTATATGAAAATGTCCATTGAAAAGTATGAATAGTTGCGTTAGGCTAAATTTTAATAATGCCAGAGGGTGGGAGGGGGAGAGACGGGCAGGCGTGTGTATGAGTGTGTGTATGTGCGTGCATGTGCGGGGGGTGGTGGGAGAATTGGGGGGCAACACGGGGAAGAGTGGGCCGAGAAGAAAAGGGGAATGCAGCTGGCCCAGGCGAGCATTATGCAACGTCACCTGCGAGCGGGGGCGCCTGCAGACCCCTATTCATTAGCCTAATTTTGGTCAATTTAACAAACTTCAGGAGAAATTATTGTGGCTTTGTCAGGGAGGGTGAAGCCTTCTGATCGAATTAACAGCATGTTTTGATCCGGTAAATGTCATTAGAAAGGGAGAAACAATCGCGCTTAGAGGGCCCTGAGTAATGCGTCCAAGTGGAGACGCCAAAGCGCACGGCTCACAAAGGGAGCAAGTAGCTGCCACAGGGAACTTTTGTACCCGCCCATCGCCCAAGTTTTGACACAAAAAGGCATTATTTCATACTTGAATACGTTTAATCCAACGATTGTCTATTTTCTGCAAACATATTTTCACAGCATTGTTAACTTTTTATGTCCCTCTTTCGCGGGCGCCTTTTCTTAAGGTTCAGGGGCGGGAGAGCGCAGACACTCGGGGCATCAATATTTGTCACTGAAAAGGGCTCCGTGAAGTTAGGGAAGTTGATCTCTTTTTTATGGTTTTAGAAAGCGAATATATTGGGGGAGGAGGAGGGGGGAAGGCCTGAGCAGAAACGAGCAGGAAATTTGCTCCAGGGGCGCAAGGGGAAGGCGGGGCCGGCGCCTGGGAGCTCTGCCCTCGCCTTGCGCCTCGGCGGGCGGCCGGGCCGGCGGCCTGGGGACTCCTCCCGCACCGGCTGTGCCCCCTCACTTTTTCCGGTGGGAACCCACACTCGGGGGGGCTCCAGAATTTCAGGATAGGGGTGGGGGCGAGGGGGTCAGCTTTCTTGCAGATGGAAACTATAAAAATGTTTTTTTGTTTAGGACCAGCTTGGGAGCCACCAAGCTCTCCCCTTTTTCTAGTCTGTTCCATTCCGGAACCCGAAGACCTCACCTCAGACATCTTTCCTTCCCTTTCTAATCCCCACCCCATATGCATTCTCTGCGCTGCTGGACTACAGCAGAACAGCGCCCTCGCTCTCCCTGTGGGTGTCAGCGGTCCTGGGCAGAGGTGGCTTAGGCTGGAGCCCTGCCTGCTGGCGGAACCTTGGGAGCAACTAGAGCGCAGAGCCAGGACTGGGGTGCTGGGCCTTGGAGAGGGCAAGCGGCCCACCTGTGGTGGCCTGGGGGGTGTGGAACTCTCTCTGCACTACGCACCCCTACAGTGTCCCCCGTGGTCTTGTGTTCAGTCTCCTCACTATGTTTCTTTTCTACTTCACACCAGATTGGGCAAACCGCAGTCCCCTGCAGGTTGCTCTTCCAGCCGGGGGTGTCCTCTGGAGGTCTGTCGATTTCAGTATATTCACTGGCACACAAAGGGATTAAACAGGAACCCTTATCATCCAAATTAACTAACGTGAATGGGTAAAAGGGAGCGCGCACACGTCTCACCCCCACCCCTATTTTAAGCCAGTGGACTAGGAGTTGATCCTCTTACTGCTGGTGTTAACCGCCAGCTGCTGGCACCTTTCACCAGACGAATTGTATTCTGTGCGAAGAGTTTTATTTACAGTGTTTGCTTGAGAAGCTGCGCTCCAGGGTTTGCCCAGGATGGCAGGTACCCCCCAGTGGTTTGGCGAGTCCCAAGTGCAGATGAGTAGGTGGGTGGAGCTGGGGGTGGAGGAACAGGACACTGGCCATTGTTGCTACAGCCCTTCCTGCGAGACAGGGCGTGCCTCTTTGCACCTAGGTGAGGAAGAGGATGTGTTTATTTCTCAGTTCCTGTCCTGGAGGCTTGACTCACCTGCCAGAAAGTTGGGGGGCAGTTAGGAGGGGCGCATCGCCGTTTTTCCCTTTACCCTCATGGTGATAAAGTGTTCCCTGATCTTGACCCAGTTCCATCCCAAATGAGAGCAGAGGGGCAAAGAGCCTTGATCACTGATGTAAATGTCAGCTCCACGACCTACCAGCTGGGTGACTTTGGACTGGTTACAGAATCTCTGGTTACAGAATTTACTGTGCCTCAGTTTCCTCCTCTGTAAAATGGAGATAATAATGGATATATTAGGTCACAGGGTGGTCAGTGGAATGAAGTAAGTAAATATGGGCCAGGCACCTAAAAGAAGGCTTCGCTGCTGCTCAGTTAGTGGTTTTACTTTTACTGGAAATCTCTTCTGCAGTAACTCTCAGAGAAGAGGGCTGATGGGGTGTACGCTGTTTCATATTTGCATTTACTTCATGTTTTCTTATCCTTAAAAAAGCCTTTTTCTCCCTGAAAAAGCCACAGTGATTTGCTAAATTTACAAAAATTAGGCATGTGAGTGGGAGGGGGCCTTCAGACAGCCCCCTTTCACAGGTGACATCACCTAGTGCTGGGGGCGGGGGAAGCTGTGCTCCCCATTGTGTGGGAGGCTGAAAAGGAGCTAAGTGCAGAAGTCATTTCCAGTGATTCAAACATTAGCATCAGAATCAAGGCAAAGCTAGGAGATAAGACTACTTAGAAATTAGTGCTAAGTAAATAATAGCCTGTGCTTCGACTCCTGGTTTCTAAAGACCCCTGTGGAAAATACAGCGACCACACACAGGAGGTGTTTGTGATTGTTGCCAGTATTGTTTGTTGCTGTTAGGTCTTTGGTGCCTTAGATTTGGCATGGAGCTTTCAGATACTAAAGAGGGATTCTTTTTGCCTTTCTTTACAATTCCAGAAAGGGTTCATGTATGGGTTTGGGAAGGAAATGGGAAAATGGATGAGGGAAAGAAAAAAAATGGAGTGTGTATTCAGTCATTTCAGCCACATTGCGCTAAGACAGTGTCCTGGGTGACTGCAGATCTCTCCCTCCACCTCCCATGTCCAGCACACAGAGCAGGCTTTCCAGATGCTGTAGGGGATTGAGGATTTATTTAATCAAGTGAGGAAATGTGAGGAGTCATGTCAGAGCTGTGGCTGACCCTCTTGCTTTTCTGGTATACCAAGAAGACCAGGCGTGAAGGGTACAAATAGGACTCATGAAGGGTCCTGTTTCTGAGGTGAGTTGGAACACAGAAAGTGGGGTTGAAAGATGCGCCTCTGAAAGGAGCCTAGAAGAGCATCAAATCCAGCACCCCACTTGACCACTGAAGAAGCTGAGGGGGAATTGGGAATGCCCAGTGGCACACTGCAAGCTGCTGTCACAGGGGGGTGTTGATTTGTTTTGTGCCTCAGTTTACCTCTCTGGGGCTGTGCAGGCAATCCCATCAGGATCCCCATGATTTAGGAATAGCAAACATTCTGTAGCCCCCCTGCTGCCTTTTCTGGGATGCTCATTGTCAGAGGCATCCACTGCGTCCTTGAGCCTCTTCTGTGTGCTCCTGCTGCTGGCAGGTCTGGTGAGAATAGAATTTGAGAGCTTAGGCAGGAAATAACAAGCAGCAGTACATGGCCCTGCCCCCCCCCACCCCCATGCACCTTTATCTAATAGGAAGAGCATACTAGTATGGAAGGCTCCTGTGGCCTCAGCACACAGCCACCCTTGGCCCCCATTCTAGCAGCCACACAGCAGCTGTCCTATTGGATTGGCAACTTTTCTGGACTTTTTCCTGCTCAGCTTGCCGATTCTTCGCTCCCTCTGACCACCAGTAGTATTCTCAGCTCCCCCAGCTCCTGTGTGGCAGGAGATTCCTTGTCAGTGCAGGCAGGGGAAGGTGAGAACAGAACAATCACCATCTCTCCAATCATGAGGACACACAGTGAAGGTGTCTGTTATTATTTGAACCCCCATCTGAAAGAAACCCAGAGACTTGTGAAACCTGTGTCCATAATAGGGTGACTGCCAGTAGGTGACTTTTGTCTTTATCTACTTTGTTCTTGTCTCTGAAACAGTTGATTTCAATGCTTTTTAACTATGCTACCATTTGGTGTCTGGTAGTTTTTGCTGAGTGAGGCAGCAGCGCTGAAGCCACTGCTACTTGTCAGGAGCACCTCCTATCTGATGGGCCTGATGTTTCCAGCTCTTCTATCTGCAGGAATCTGATACATTCACAGTTGGCTTGGTTTCGTTTCAAGTAGAAGGAAGTGAAGCGGTCTAGTCCCCTACTACTGAAGAGTGGTCCTCAGACCAGCAGCCTTTTCACCACCTGGGAGTTCCCTGGAAATGCAGAATCTCAGGTACCACTCCGCACTCCCCATCAGAATCCACCACTCCACATTTGAACAATACCACAGTTGATTTGCGTGCACTTCAGAGTTTGAGGAGCATTGCTCCAGCTGAAGTTAGGACCTCCCACTTGGTATTTAAGAGCAGATGGCTGCCTGATGGACCAATCCCGGATCGGAATCGCCACCCTAAAATGACCACGGAGAGCAAAGGTGGAACAGCTTTCAAGCTGTCCGA